TCCACTCGCCCTTTCTGATTGCGTGCAGCTTCTGGAATTCCTATTTATTTTTTTTTTTTTTCCCCCACCCCGAGTAAAATTGCTCAAAACAATAACAACAACAAAAAATAACCCTCCAAAAAGAAAATAATCAGAAACAGTTTCACTTTTAAGTCTCTGGGAACATATGAAAGGCCCAACTGCTCTTCGCTGAATTAGAAAGACTGAACAAAGGTGTTTGTCTATTCGGTAAATTAGATTTTAGACTACCAACAGTTCAAAGTCTATTCAAAACAGAATCCAACAAAAGTGACAGGCTCCTGCCCTGGTTCCCACCTAACAGACGCGTTTTGGTGGCAGCCAGTCCCTTAGGAAAAAAACCATACTCAACTGGAATTTGAGTTTGCACTTGTTTATCATGAGCTCGTCATCAGAAGATTTCGGAACATTATAATCTGTAGACTCCTGGCTGGAGGAAGGGCAGGGAAGAAAAGCAAACGTGAACTCGGCTCACTAAATGCATCTGCAAGATGGGGTTGAAATTCCTCTCTCCTTGAGCTGATATCCGTGCTCGATCGCGAACGAACACCACGTTCCTGGTGAATGGGTAAGTTATTAATAACGAAACCGAAGGCAGAGAGTCGTTTAATCCTCCTTTTGTGCTGGTGACAAAAAAATCCAAACTAAATACATAAAGCCAAAAAAAAAAAAAAAAAATTCTTCCCCTTCCCTGACAGCCTTCATCAGTCAATCATAAGAATCTGGGAACCAAGTGAGCTGAGGTCCTTCCCACCCCCGTGGTGTCATGTTCTCGTAGCAGGGACAGCAGCACTCGATGGGATGAGGAGTGGTCTTCTTGCATCCTATAAAGCCTGGGGCATATCCAGCTGGGATTAAAGCAGATTCCACTGTGGTGTGGTATAAAAAGGATGGCAGAAACAGGAAAGTCTTCCTCTCGGGCATTCCTCTGCATTATTTCCACGTGGCGGACTGTGGAATGGACCGTGGGGGAATCATATCCAGGAGATACTCACGCTGGCGGTCTACTGCTGAAGACGACTTGTGCACAGGTAAACTAGGATTAACGAAGGGTAAAGCTCCACCTGAGGGGACAGAAAAGAGGAGAGAGAACAAGCGTCACCGTGTGATAAGAACATGAGACAAACCAGCGGCAAAACCACGCTGCTCGCATTTCCCCCCATCGTCTGAGCACGGGGCACTACTGGCCGCGAAGGTCAGACACCTTCAGAAGACAAAAACGTTAGGAGCAAGATTTTGTCCCAGAAATGAAGATTTGAGCAGGCTAGAGCTCTCTGCAATGAAATCACATTTTAAATGACAAATTAAGCTGTGAGGAATAAAAATCAACAGAAATCCATTCAATAATGGGCAAGAAGTTAATCACAAAAGAATTGGTTGCTACAGTGTTTCCTTCCTGGAGATGCTAATTCTCGTTGAAGAGAACAATCGACTCTTCTCAAGTCAGAGTCTTACATATATAAAAAAGATTAATTAGAATTTATAATTTCCATTTGCTAAAGCAACAGCTCCAGTTATTGCAAATCCTGAGGAAGGCTGGGCGTGTGCACTGCAGCCTTACCCAGAGCAAACCCATCTCTTTACTTTCAGCAAAGGGAAAACACCAGTCAAAATGAAATTGAAATTAAAATGAATTCAGACTGAATTAACCTCCCAGAAACAACCGACAAACTCCTGCAGCGCGGTACTGGCTGCGCACAGGGACTCAGTCCCACATCACATCTATTCCGTCTATTTCTAGCTGTGTGAAGCGGTAGTTTTTGTTTGGCAGCACCACTGGATTGCCCCTTTTGATGAGCATAAACCACACCAAAAGCAAGTGCCAACAACGAGACTAAGAGCAAAGCCTCGGTGCCATCGGGCTTTCATGCAGGAAGTGTCAAAGAGAAAGCATCCTTACCCCAAGAACTATGATTGTTGGACAGAGTGCAGCTAGTAAGTACAAATGAAAAAAAAAAAAAAAAAAAAGCAAAACTTTAAAGAAAAATCTACCTGTATTGATGGGAGTCTTCTTCCAGGCGGCAGCGCTGCCCTTGCTGACAGGTCTCTCAGCATGCTTACCTGGCCTGCTCCCAAGTGCTGCTGCAGACGATGCATTCTGCAACTTGGGTGACTGGCTAAATGCATGCAACACTCCTCGCGGAGCTCCAGGAGGACCTCGAGACATCTGGCTAGAAGTCTGGCGAGAGAGGAAAGGGTTAAGACAGGCGTTGCAGCTCTCTGTCTCTCCAGGTACCATGGCCTTGATGAATCTTTGCTGCTCCTCTCTCCTTTCCTGGCTGCTCCTGCCCAGTCTGCAATGCATTACTATAGTTCCAGGGCTGAAGACTTCCAAGACACATTTACAACAAAATAAAAATCAGTTTCTACTTCTGAAAGCACCTCTAAGGCTGAGGAATTATCATAAGCCGCAAAGCAGCAAAGAATGTGCTGTGGAAGCATCTGCGTACACAGGCAGCACTCTACTCCCATCCGAAATAACCCGTACCTGGATCATTTCAACCCAAAGCAGAACTTTAAGCGGTTTCCGCCTTCCCCCAACCGAAAGCTGGTTTTGTGAGGTGTGCGAGACCCACCTCTGCCCTGGATGGTTGCTGCCATCACCTTAAAACTTCACAAGCAACATTATGTGTTCCTGGCTCAAGCCAATTTTTTTTTTTTTTCTCTCTTGGGTCACTTTACTCTTGTGTATTTGGCGTTGGAGCACCTTCTTCTGTTTGGTACATCCTAAAAAATATCAGGAACATTCCTTACCTGCTTGAGCGAGTGGTGCTGCACGATGGGGTCTGACTTGGTCTGTCCAGGAGACGCCGTCTGCTGCAGTATCCTTTGCTCGATCTCCTGCTCCTGCTGCAGGGCTTTGACGAAGGCAGCCTTCAGTCGGTTAGTGTGCTCAGCTTTCAAGGCTTTTTTCTGATTCGATGTCATGCAGGTTTCACACATAATGGTTCCGTTCTTCTCCTCCCTCCAGCGGCAGGTGAAGTCAGTCTTACACTGAGCACACATATAGGGCTCGCGAGATGATACAGCAACCGAAACTTTACCTGGAGAACACAACCAGCTCAGCTCAGCTCCACCTGCGGCTTCTACGAATGAATACTCGAGAAACTTCAAGAATTTTACCAGGTAAAAAAACCCCAAAGCAAACCCTCCACCCGTAAATCCCCTCAGTCTGAAGCCTTTTGCATTACTAAATCTTTAAACTCTTTTCTTCCATGAGTGTGTGCAGGTATTGACTGGATACTTCTTTAGATCTTGGTTAGAGAATTTAGTGGTGAGGGACAAACAGGTGGGATATCAACAGCTCTGGGGAGAACCGGACGCATTTTAGAGAAATCTTTACAATCAGTGTCTAGCCTAAGAGAAATATTTTCTTTTTTTTAGAATTTTCTTGGACATTTTTAGAATTTTAAATAAAACAGTTTGAAAATTATTAAAGAAGTGACTCCTAGATTTGAGCGAGTATGACAATTTAATCCTGCGAAGCCTGAAACTCCTTGCTGCCTGCTATTGAGATAAAAAGTCCAGATGGGAAAGGTTCTCTCCTCGCCTTTGAGGAACATTTGTAACGCTGTCTCACCTTGAGTTTCCAGCAAATTCTGCACAACTTCTTCCAACCCGACTAAGTAAATAAATTCGTTATTAGCTGCACTTGGCAGGAAGTTCATCTCTGGCGCAGGAGGCTTGGGAGGAGGGATCTCCAACAGCGTCTTCTCCAGCTGCTTCCGCAGGGCGAGCTTGGCGGCGGTTTGCCGGCTGGCCGGCGAGTCGTTGGAGTTGCCGATGGAAGCGGCGCTGGTCGTGGTGGCGTTAGCCTGCGCGGACGTCACGGTTGTACCTTTGATGGAAGTTGGTGAAGCCTGGGAGGAAACACGACACAGCTCAGTGCCAAGTGCCAGACGGGTGGGTGCTCTGGGACCCGAGAGGGAAGGAAGCAGCGCTGGCTCTGACGCCGCGCGGGGCTGTTTGTGTGCGATGACAGCTGGCTGCTGGGGACCAGACCGAACCGCCTGCCTCTGCATCCTGCTTCTGCGGGTGATGCGTTCACTGCAACGCCGCACCCAGCATCTAGCACCAGTTCTTTTTCTAAAGAACTTCACTTTTCTTTACTGACCATTTTTACAGGGCAGTTTTAGGAATTTTAAAGAAAAAAAACAAAGGAGTCCTTTTCTCTATGACTTTGTCAAAGCACTGACTTTAAATGAGGCGCAAAATTCAGTTCACTGAAATACGCATTTCTTCCCAATACTCTGTCATGTTTTTCCTCATCCTATGTACAGGAGGTGAATGTGGACAGAGAAAGGGACTGCACGGGAAGAACGAGGAGCAGTAACAAGCAACCACCTCCCTTAGAGCCACGCCAATTAGACACAGTAGCCCAACGCTCATTAATTACCACCGTTCGCCTCTGCTCCTCTGAGATGAACGCTACGTTTGGCACAAAACATCTTTGGGGAACTCACCTGCGGGATATTGACGAGCAGGCTGGTGTTGGGAACGTTGGCGACGCGGATCAGACCCTGCTGGATAATGCGCTGCCCCTGGATTTGTACGCTGGGGACCGATGCCCGCGGCGCCAGCAGCAGCGGAGGCGGCCCCGTGCTGGAGTGCTGTCGGATGTTGTGGATTTGCTGGGAAGAGACAGAAATGGGCTGATGCAATGGGGCCGTGAAGGATGGGGAGGGTTAGACAGCGGGAAGTAAGCGGTGGGAATGGGATGACATGAGACAGTGGGAATGAGGCAAGGCAGGGAACGCAAAGAAAGCGTGATAATTAACATCCATGTCAAAATGGGATGTTTTCCCCTTTCCCTCTGTCAAAATGGAACAAATAGAGCACCTCATGAAAGATGCTCGTATGAGGCCATCACTTTACAGCCAAAACAGCTGTGCCAAAAAAAAAAAAAAGTAAATTTACGTTTCCGAGTCAAACTTCTGTCAAAATGTATAGTAGTTAGGCTTGTTTCGTTTTAAAGGCACTAGGAAAGCTGTTTTCCAGAATGAGTTTTTTCTCCATAACCAGAACAGAAAGAAAATGAAATTCCAAATCTCTACCTTCCTCCTTAATGCTGGCTGTGCAACACATAAACGCAGACCTTTCACTGCCAAATAAATCCTCATTTAACAAGGACATATTTTTTCCCTGGTATCCCATGGAAATCATGATTTTAGAGTACTGTATCAAATGGAACATTGCTTTCCCACTCCTTTAATGACATCAGTATTTTCTGTTACAGGTGATAAAGACCCTGCAAAGCAGCACTTCCAGTTGACTATCTCCTTTCAGCAGCTCTTACTCAATCGCAAGACAGAAAAAATGAGAAAAAAAATTAGTTTTAGCATTTGAAAAGGTGGAATTGATAATGACAGAAAGAATAACGAGGGGAAAAAAATGAAAGAACAGGGGATTGTGTTTCATTTCCTCTGCTGCTGCTTTCCTAAAAAGCGGGTGAAGCTGGAAGCCTGTCAATTGACTTTTCAGTGCTCCGGCGCAGCGAAGGGAAGCAGCGGCACAGGTGATGCAGGGTACAGCATCCTGGGACAGCACACACACAGAACTGGAATGATGCAGGAGCTTTCAACAGCAATACATCTGGCTGTGTTAACAAGTTCCAGCCAGAACTTCACAGGCTCCTTCCAGACAAGCAGAAAGATGAGTAAGAAAGTAGTGAAGATGCATTAAGGAAAAACAGAGCGGACCTGCCACAAGGCAAACACCTACCTGTGCTCCTCTGACAAGAGGTGGCATTACTATCTGCGTGCTTTGCTGCGTTCCTAATTTTGAAGAAGTCTGCTGCCCTCCACGGACCAAGGGAGGAGGAATAACAGTGCCTGGTAGACGCGTAGAAGAGGTCTGCAAAACAGAAAATCATTCACTCGCCGCGTTTTCTTTTGCTGTATTTATACGTACGCTCTCTTCTGCTGCTTAGTGTGGCAATACAGCAGTATCTGAAATTCCAGCAGCTCAAGAGCCGCTGTGCTGAGACACACCACAACCCCAGGACGAGAGCGTCTCTCCTCTGGCTGATGCGACAGATGCAGCGTCTGTCTGGAGCCAAGGGAAATACCGTAGGACAAGAGATGGCCTGGCTGGCTGCAGTGAGGGTAGTGTGCAAAAAGGAAAAAAAGAATTAAGAAGGTGTATTTTGCAGGGGAGTAAGAGAATGGGGAAACACAAACTGCTGTCCTTAAGGAGAAGCAGGGGGCAGACAGAAGGTCGAGAAGCAGGAACGGGGGGAGGTGAGCAGACTGGGTATGTGCATGTATGTGGGATGGAAAAAAAAAAAGAGACAGGTAAAGGGGAAAGCTTTAGAAAAATGAAAAAGAAAAGGAGCTGGCTGAGGAAACTTGAAAAATTGCTGCCTGTGCTTTTTGGGCTGCGGACTGCACTAAATCCTCCAAGTTTCGCATGATGCTGTAAAAGGTGACATGGCTTCATGCACCACTTACACTCCTGCAGATGCTATGCGACCGACCCTGAGCAGCGCTCACCCCTAAAGAGCAACAGATCTCTCCATCCCGTTCACGTGGCTTTACACATCCGGCCACTTCCCTCACTCAAGCCCCAAACTGATCATCACCTGTGAATTCAGACTTCTGAAAACCCCGGAGCTCCCACTTTCAGGAGTTACCACGTGCACACACACGTACGTATTTAGGCAGGGGGGAGTTTTATCCACTCCTGTTACACTTTTCAACTGCAGACCAAATGTTAACTCAGCTCCTACATGCAGGGATTAGTAGAGTTTTTAAGTCAAGCAAAAGCAGATGGAGGTTAGGTCAATTTGCCCAAACACCACAAATTAGAATAACTTCAATTCTGGGTTCTTAGCTCCCAGCTCTCTGCTCTGTCCAACCGAAGTTGCGCTGTCTGATCGCTGGAGATTTAACTCGTGGTCCAGTTCCTCTGAAAGTGCTGTCTTCAGTGAAGGCAACTTGCCTCAAGGAAGAGATTACTCCAACTGACAGATCGCTTTGGGTTTTAATGTTTCCCGCACAGATAGCGAATTTACCCCTTCCCTCGAGCACAGCGTTCCAGGGGATTCTGAAATCAAGAGCTGCCGTTTTCCCTGTGAAAGCATTTTGTGCTGAAGCAGTTTTGAAATTTGTTTCGAATTAGCCCCACGGTAAATAACAGAAACGTTTTCAACCCAAAAGCGAAACAAGATACCAGACTCAAGAAAAAGATTAGGCTGACAGATGTCAATTGCCTCTGCTTTTTTTTTTTCTTCCCCAAGGCTTTCCAACGTTTCATTTAATTTAGTCTGAACCAAGATCTTTTCCACCATCATGTGCCGTTCAGCCACCAACCGTGTGATTCACTCAGCTCAGAGTTCGTCACACTGAGGGCACAATTAAGTCTCTCGAGGGTACGGCAACAGGCTGCCTCGATATTTCTATAACGTCACTCCATGGCATCCTCTTGCACCCAAGGCCGTTAGTACTAGCATGGATGGATTGATCAGCAGAGTGGATCAGGATGATCAGCCACGGAAAAACAAGCTTATGAGAGTTATCTGCACGTGACATCCTACTTCCATCTCCCACCCCAATGGTTCCTAAAAAAACAGCTTATAGTGGGGTTTGGGGGAGCTAGGAATCTGCAGCTGGCTCCAAGCCCAGAGTGCGATGGGACTGTCCCTTCCTGCGCTGCCTGCTCCACGCCCTGAGCCTGGCAGCCTGGCCCACCCCACTGACCTGCAGGGACGGCTTGCCAGCAGGAACGCTCTGCGGTCCCCGCACCAAGGGCGGAGGGGTGGCCACAGCACTCCCAGAGGAACCAGCAGGCTGGAAGAGGAAAAACCAGAAAGAAAGCAGACGAGTGTAAGGGTGTAAGCAGAATTACAGAAGCTAAGGGAACAAAAGTGTTTACCTCCTTGCGCCTCAGAAAGAGAATCTTCAAAGACTGTGGTTTCCCCCCTCCCCCAGCCCTTTTTTTCCTCCAAGCATCTCAACTGGCGTATTTAAATGAAGAAGTTATTAGGTAAGTATAGATAAGATTACACCAGGAAAATAAAAAAGCCTATAAACCAAAAGCAGAGCAATGTGGGAATATATTTTAGCAGTCTCAGTCTTATCCACCATTACTACTCATCTCAACTAATTAGGTTCAAGCACAATGCAAAGTGAAAAAGAGTTTAGGAAAAAGACTTAGGGTATTAAGAAGTTCAGAATATGGCATTTCACCCTCGTTATTTCAAACATCCAGAGCTCGTTGCTCAGCATTCAGCCAGTTGAGGGATGCAGGTACTTGCATTAGTTTTAATCTACTGAAGCATTCGAAAGTCCAGCAGACAAACACCAAGAGCTCAACCGAAGCCAGCCAGGAGAGCTGCACGAACATCCCCCTGCACCGGGACGTGCACTGAAACCCACACATCGCCCCCACCACAAACCCCATCGAGTCAAGCATCACGCGCTCTACAATTAAATCGTTTAGTTGCCATTGTTACAGATCCTTGAAATTTAGCCCCTGCCTGGAGAGGAGCGCGTGGGGTGTTCGCACGCCCCCTCGCCTCCCACCTCCTCTGCTCCTCTGCGGGCAACCGCTCTGACAAAAGGTGGGACTTTGCTGCCAGGTTCAGTTTCTGACAAGGACAGTTCTCCCAGCGCTCTGGATATTGCACCTGGTGGTGTCAGAGGAGGGGTGGGGAGAAAGGAGGAGGAAGGGAAGGGAGTTTGGGGGGCAGGGCTGACCCGCTCCTTCCAGGGGCTGCCTGGATTTTCGGGTGCTGAAAGCGTGCAGCGAGCTGCAGACTGACTTCACCTCGTCAGAGCTGGAATCCACACCTGGGCTTCTGCCACGCAGACGGAACGCAGCCCCCGGCCGCCAGCTCCCAGAGCCTGGCATCCAACGCCTTAATTCTACCTGTTAGCACATCGGTTATGTGCAACAGTCTCCTCCAAACGTATTTCAGCAATTTCTGCGCAGCATTAAGGGCTGGAGTGTTTAATAACTGGAAGTACGTTACATTTATAAACGCATTTGAGTTTTAACACAAAGGGCTTCAGCTTTTGAATATGGCTGATAGGATAAACTGTCTTGTCGTTTGGTCTTGGCAAGACAAAAAAAGGAATTCCACAAAAAGGAACGGGGAACAGGGTAAACCACTGTGAACTTCATAAAGGTTTTATGAAAAGTGAGATATATTTCAAAGCTATCTTGTGTTCCATAGGTTATGGCAACCACCAGAGTTATTTAAATTTTTCCCCTTCCATTTCAAGAGATGAGATGATAAGCGTCTGTAGGAAAACAAATACCTTCTGAGTAGTGGTCTCCTTCTGGATTTGACTTTGCCGTAACTTTTTCAATAAAACAAGCTTTGCTTCTTCTAACCGTAACTCTTCTTTTAGTTGTTTAATCATTCTCTCACGCTCCTCTGGACTGCTTTTCTGCAGGGCCAGGTAAGGCAATAAAGGATGGGAAAACAGGGAGGAGGGAGAGGGAAGAGATAGATACCATACAAGTTACAACAAGAACTTGCAGCTTTATAATTGTCGTGTTTGTCTTAATACCACCGACATGCCTGCAATATACGGACACAAACTGATTATGGAGAAAGCACTCTTAGGCAAAAAAAATTCTTTTTAAAGGTATTTTCACTAGCAAAACAAGTAAACATAGTGAAATGGAAGAATCAGACAATAAATCTGGGACAATAGACACTGCACCCACTAGAGCACCAATTCTGAAAAAGGTGCACTTTCGAAGCATATAAAAATCAACAAGTTAAAGAGTCTGAAAAAAAATTTAAAAAAAGGGACATCAGCCTCTAACAGCTTCAAGATTCGCAAATCTTTATAAAACCAGGTATCCACCGGACCCCGTGATCACAGGTGCCTCTGGAGGGACACGTGGTGTGTTTTCCTCTTTCTAGATGGGACAACTTAGCAGTGTGTCAGGACAAGACGACTCACCATGAGTGCCTCTGCGCTGGTCTCTTTTAATGCTATTTTTGTTAAACCATTCATCCTGGGGCTTGAAGGCTCGTTGTCAGATAACACTATAACGTCCGGTGAGGGGACTCTCTTTTCTCTCTTTATTTCACTGCAAAGCAAAAGAAAAATACAACGAATGAGTGAATAAAAAACAAGCAAACAACTTCAAGCTGCAAAGTAACATTATTTACAACCTTCTGCTAAGCAATCCCAAATCTCAAGTTCTGAACAAACCCGACCCGGACGAGCTCAACCCATCTCTGCTCCTGGCGGATGGGAAGCCTCCCAGTCCACACCACACACAGCAATGGGGAATTCCTTCATCTTGGAAGCTTTTCCATCAGCCACTTGCAAAACCAGCTTCAAATATTGCAAAAAAACAGCTTTAAAAAAAATATAATTTCCACGTTCGTGTGAAAAAATAAAGAGTGGAGTGTCCTCTAGAGGGCACGGCAAGCCAGCAAACCCGAGCCACGGGGACTCTGAGGTGCTTTCAAAATTCACAGGGGCACAGGTGAAGCGTTTGCAGCTTTTTCTTGTATCTGAACGCAGACTGGCTCAGGTCGCTCTTAGCGGGGAAGTCACCGGGTCGGGCCAAGCTCCACTTGGCTGGAAAAATTTTTCTGGACAGCGGTGACGGGAGGC